ATGTATGTATGTATGTATGTATTGTTTTATTTTATAATGATATGTAGTGATAGTGGTATATATTGATATATGATATAATTGGAGCATTTTTTGAGGATGTACGTTTCTGCTGTCTGTGAACATCGACCACCACGATTGGAATATGGCGAGTATCTGTTCACGATCGTATATAATTAGCCTGTGTTGGGATTTTAGCGGTTGCGTGTATTTGCATAAGCTTCTGCTCAATCTAAACGTACCTACACTCAATTAGAAACTCCTGACTTGCATTCCCTCGCACAGGTGGCGTCTGTGCCTTTCCCGCCCACTATCGTTCTACCTACCAACTCAGTGGGAGAAATCATCACCAACAAACTGCTGGAATCGTGCGATGTGTCTGTATCTGCCGGTGCACATGTGACCCATGCCACGAAGACCAAGGGGAGTCTTATTGCACGCACCGCCGCAGCCGAAGGAGAGAGCATTGTGGAGGTCATCTGTACGGACGACGGCACTAAGAACGGCGACTACCAGGTGTGTGGCTGAGGGTTAGAGAGCATGTAGCGCCTCAAATGCGTAGACTTCTGCGAATGTGTTTCATTCCTACAGGCTTCATAAGTTGTTGTGTGTTCGTTCGTGTGTTCCTTTGGAAATTCATATACTCTATCTACTAGTAAGAATAGTCTTCCGTTTATTGTGTAATATGTATAGCTTTTCAGAACCGCATCCGACTAATTGTACAGAGTTCTGATTTATCTACATCGGTGAGTATGATTCAATAACCCACACTGCATAAAATACATACTGTTTGGGCTAAGGGTAAGAGAGAACTAAAGGTAGGAAACCTGTGTCGATAATGCGGGGGAAGATGACAGCAATTAAAAACCTACCGAGAGGCCAAGACGACCTGACTTAAACGATCAAAAATAGTGGTTAAACCCCTATTACCCTGACTTTGCACCACACAAAAAAACCCCTAACATTATCCCGTGTCTCGCCTTGGCCATCCGCAGACGGTACAGCGCAACGCGTTCCCCATTGACGTGCGGTCGGTGCACTTTCTGCTGCTGGTGCCCGCCTCTAAGGCTGCCATTGTGCCTGTGGGTGTAGACCTGTGCTTCTCTGTGGTGGTTAGAGATCGCAACGGTCGCGCCTTCACTGTGCTGCCCAACGGCGGAGACGCACTGCGCGTGCAGTCGAGTAACCAGGGTGTGGTGAGCGTACAGACGCAGGCACCTAGCAGGTATGTACTTATGTACCACACTATGGTACAACTAGTGCTGTGCCGTGACATCTTCGGATGTTCGTCTCGGCTGTAGCCAGGTCGTGCTTAGGCAACCCACTGGAAGCACTTGGGACAGCACGTGCCGCTACTTTTGTGTTGGATACACCAATACCCATTGCCCCGCACACTGGCCGTGCACCCCTCTCACAGGCTTTCTGAACTTAATTGAATGGTAGTGTGTTTCACCCCTCTCACAGGCTTTCTGAGTTTATTTGAATGATAGTGTGATGCACCCCCTCCCCATTTAGTACACATCTGACCACCAGATTCCATTGGTCTGTAGCAGTACCCGTAGCTAACACGTCGCCGCGCTCCGTACCTCGATAATTGTCCAGTGCCAGTGTGGACTGGTCGGCCGAGTGCCACGTGCGAGTGCGCACTGAGACCGCCGGGCGCGCAGTCCTCAGAGCCAATTGGGTGGGCACACAACCCAGTGCAGTGGACTACGTTCACGTGACTGTGGGCGAGTCAGAGACAGGTCTGCCTACCACGCTTGTGCTGTACCCGGGAAGCAGTCTGTGCTTGCCCCTGCCCAAGAACAAGTTCCGTAAGTACATTAGACGTAGTGAGTGATTGATAGCGCGTTGGTACATATACGCTGAGCGTGTATGCGTGTGTGTGCAGTTATATTATATTTGTCACCTCTCACTGCTAGGCCTTCGGTTGGCCGTGGTACTTTTGAGGATAGACTTACTGTATGTTTGGACATTTGTTTGTATGAGTATCCCGTCAGATTGACTTTCTTTATTTAGACATATGTTTATAATATTCGGTTTAGGAACTTATAGTCCATGTGTGGCCCACCTGCCTGTTCATAGGCATATGAGTCCGCTTCTCTAGCGATGGATGGGTATATAATTTTTTTGAAGATGTCTTTGTGCTTGTGTGTGTGTGAGAGAGAGAGGTGAAAAATCAGTATGCATACTCACCTTTGCAAAGACTTCCAAGTGCCTGTATACATGCGAATTTACGTACGTTTCATATCACTCATCGGTAGACACGTATGAGAGAGAGCGGCCTTACTACCTGGAAGAGCAACCTGCCTGTCCCGATGGGAAGAAGAAGTACCGCGCAACAAAGAAGGGCAAAACGTCACTGGCACTCAAGAGCGGCAGAGACGTTCTCTCAAAAGTCACGGTGCATGTGGCAGATGTCACGACGGCACAAGTATGTTGCTTAGTGTTTATGTTAACGACGGCACAAGTATGTTGCTTAGTGTTGATGTTAATGACGGCACAAGTATGTTGCTTTGTGTTTATGTTAATGACGGCACAAGTATGTTGCTTAGTGTTTATCTTGGGGTTTCTGTTTATTGGTCTCTGCATCGTACCTACCTGCACAACGAACGCAAAGGTGGTGTAAACGGGTTGTTTCAGCTAATGGTTTGGCATACGCTGTTATTGTCCTGATCTGTGGGATTAAGACTCAATGTTGAAGCTGATTTAGTGTCAGGAAATGGAACGTTTTCGAATCGTTGGTCACTCCTGATCGTGACTGGAGCTACACACAAGCCTGCACATACCAAACAGGTTAAGTTAATGCTTAGTCCTAGCCAATTAAATAGGGATACCATGAACAAATGCAACTTCTGCACGCTCGTACGCACACACACACATATATATATATATATATATATTAAAGAAAACTGTGTGATACTAACCCGTTTAATACACACAGGTAAGCAAGACCTTCAATGGCAATGAAATCACGAACAGCCCCGGTGCATCGTATGATTTTGCGGTGACCTTTGAGTCTGAGGCGGGACCGTTTTCGCCCGTCATAGGCTGTGACACCACTCAGCCGTCGACCCATGGCTACACCTCCAATGTGCCTTACACCTGCGTCTTCGCCCTTGCGTAAGTCGTATGCAGAGCGCGCTTGTGTTTTGTTTGAGATTGTACTGTGATGTGTATCGTTGCTGGGTGCAATGTCCCTAGCTGTACATTGGGTCAGTGGGTGCGCATTGGACGTCGGTTTTTTTGTTTCTGCAGGTGTCCACTTGCGCTATGCTGCATTGGTGTAGACTCCCGAGCGTGTGTTGACGTGAGCTGTGAGCTGTGCAGTTGTTGTATAGATCAAATGCTGTTAGTGTAGTGCCCGTGGCTGTTGTATCTCAGGACGTGTGTGTCTATGCCATTTGGTTGGTACACTTTGTTACTGCCCTGCCTACCCTTTGTCGTGGAGTATCGTGTAGTCTGTCGCAGTGCATGTGTCGCTGCGTTGTGTCCGGTGCTGCTGTCTCGCCCTGTCACTCGAGTGCGTGTCATGTCACTTCATGTGTCACATTAACGTGAGGGCTATTGCGTGACGATAACGAACACCCGCCAGCACCACGCCACTTCAAAGGCAGAGACGTCACAGGTACACAGCCGAGCATGCAACTACGAAACGCCACACCTGTTATGTGCGCAGTCATATGCGCATACATACTATTCCCCATTCAAAGTCTCTTGTGTTGACATATATACTACTCCCCATTCAGAGTTTAAAATCACTTGTGTTGACATATATATTACTCTCAATTCAAAGTCTCTTGTGTTGATATATATACTATTCCCCTTTTAAAGTCTCTTGTGTTCACATATACTATTTCCCATTCATAGTCACTTGTGTTGACATATATACTATTTCCCATTCATAGTCACTTGTGTTGACATATACTATTCCCCATTCCAACTCTCACGTGTTCACATATATACTATTTCCCATTCAAAGTCTCTTGTGTTCACATATATACTATTTCTCATTCAAAGTTTCTTGTGTTCACATATACACTACTCCCCATTCAAAGTCATCAAAATCTCTTTTGTTGACATATATACTATTTCCCATTCAAAGTCTCTTGTGTTCACATAAATACTACTCCCCATTCAAAGTCTCTTGTGTTCACATATATACTACTCCCCGTTCAAAGTCACTTGTGTTCACATATATACTATTTCCCATTCAAAGTCTCTTGTGTTCACATATATACTATTTCCCATTCATAGTCACTTGTGTTGACATATATACTATTCCCCATTCCAACTCTCATGTGTTCACATATATACTATTTCCCATTCAAAGTCTCTTGTGTTCACATATATACTTTTCCCATTCAAAGTCTCTTTGTGTTCACATGTATACTATTTCCCATCCAAAGTCTTGGTTGTCGCCTGTGCTAACACTGTGCTACCCCTCCCATTCCACAGCCACCTCTACAGCGGTTCGCCGTACATTGACCATGCAACCGGTGCCACATACTGCCGTGCAACCGCAATAGAGTTGCCACCGCAAACCGCAGGACAGCCCCAGTTTGGTATTGCGGTGGAGCCACTGCTGCTCACAGTGCGCACAGTGGGGTCGAAAATGCCACAGATCTCGCCCGTTGAGGTGATCAAGAAGAAGGTGGTCGCGCTCACCGTGCCTGCGTTGGCCGCACAGGTCGTGTATTCCAAGGTCGCTTATGCCATGGAAGCTGGTCAGGTGAGTGGGTGGGTAGGTGGGTGGGTGGCTGCGTGTGAGTGGTATGCTTCTCTCCCCTTGTGTACGAATGCGTTGGCGAGGGGTTGTCTGTGATACCTTGCATGTGTTTGCTGGCGTGGGATGTATTTCGGTAGTGAGCCATATACATATATATATATATATATATATATTGATTTGAAATTGATATTGATTTTGATTTTGAATGCTATTGCTATTTTGATTTTGATTTTGATTCTGATATTGATTTTGATTTTGATTTTGATATTTATAAGTATATGTATGTGTATTTGTATATGCATATGTATATTTTATGTTTATTTATATATTCTTCTCGGAGAATTACTGGGTTAGAAATATGAAAATCTTGGCACGAATTCTGGTGTGTTGCATTCGTTTGTCATCTACTGCATATTGAGCAGATCACCGACCCATATATGAGTCATACTAATCAGTAGTTGCTTCCAATGCTTCCTCCAGGTCTTTGGTAATCTGACACTCACCAATGCGCAATTCCACGAGGGTGTGGAACCAATTGCCGCAGATCCTAGTGTGCTGCAGATAGTGCCTGCACCCGTCACCATGGCAACCAGTCGCGTTGGCACCCAATCAGACACGCCATCCACAGCACGTGTGTACAACCTAATCGCCGTGCAGGGCGCCTTCAACGCAACAACTGTTGTGTTTGAGTCGCCACGCACTGCGCAGGAGCTGAAAGTGGTCCTCAACGCAGAGGACGCTGACAGCGACTCGAGGTATGGCCAGCACATGCCACTCACTTGGTATGGCCAGCGCATGCCACTCACTTGGACAGGGCTGCGTGTCCGTTGTGTGTTGTGCTCTAACACATGCCCAGTGGGAGTGCCGCACCAATAGTATGGGGATATTTTGCACCTCAGTTAATGGTTTGAGGCTAATTTATACCCAGTTGTATGGTGTATTGTGTGTGTTCTATTGCATATATACTGTTGCAGGGTGACGTTATCCGTTGGTATGAAACATGTACGAAGAATACTCCTAGTTCTGGTTAATCGTGTGATTGTTTGGAGGGGTTGGTCCAAAGCTTTCCTAGTCATGTTTTCAACATGGCTCACGATATATTCTTGCTTATTTATAGCAGTTGTTTCTGACTGTGCACGACATTTAATATCAGACTGTACTCATATCGTTTGTGATTCATTTGTTATTGCTTGTTTGTAGCAGTTGTTTCTGACTGTGTGTGACGTTTAAGTCAGGCTGTACTCATACCGTTTGTGATTCATTTGTTGTTGCTTTACCCATAGTCACTTGAGGTGGTGCATGACACTTAATGTCAGGTTGTACTCATACCGTATGCGATTTATTTGTTCAATCAGCGTGTATGCCGGTGATGTGCACACGCCAACATCAGATTGCCAGGGAACGGGACCTCACCTATCCGCACCTGGAATCAAACAAGGTGGCACCAGAACTAACCACAGGTGAGTCACCCTGGGTATCACTATACCTGCAGTATGATTGTGTATCGCCATAGCCATCACTATACTCTTTTAAGTATGATTGTACTATCGCCCTAGCTATCACTATACTCTTCAAGTATTTTTGTACTATCACCATAGCCATCACTATACTCGTAAAGTATGATTGTACTATCGCCCTAGCTATCAAAATACTCTTAAGTATGACTGTAATAGAGTACATTGATAGCAAAAACCCTAAGTATGATTATATCATCGCCCTAGCTATCACTATACTCGTCAAGTATGATTGTACTATCGCCCTAGCTATCACTATACCCTTTAAGTATGATTGTAATATCGCCCTAGCTATCACTGTACTCGAAGTATGATTGTACCATCGCTCTAGCTATCATTATACCCTCCGTGTGAATGTACGTTCGTTTGTGCGGTCGTGTCGCTTGCTGTATCGGCCACACTTCAGTGTTATCGTACTCCTTGATAGAGAGATGCTCCACCGTCTAGCTGTATTCAATGTGGTCCCGAGGCATCCGCACAGGACGTCTATAAACTATTCCAGGGATTGCTTTCGCATGGCGTCGTGTGCTTGCCTTCAGTGTATGCACATGCGCTTGCACATGTACTAGTGGGAAGGATGTGCATTTGCCCAACAAACAACTAGTCGGACCTCGAGTGTCCTATTTCGTGACAGTTAGGGCATCCTATTCTAAATCCGTGTGCTTCTACTCTCTCGTTTGTATATAGCTCAAACAACAACTCGGGTGCTACGTCGATGGTGTTCATGCTGGTATTCATGGTAGGGGTGGCCATGATGATCCTGTTTGTGGTGTGGAACTACTTGCACGGCATGAATGCCGCTAATGGCATGCGCATGACTCCCCATGTGCCACGCAATGCCGGCTCCGTGCAGAACCCATTCAATCAGCCGCTATGATAGGGGCATGGATATGGATATACTCGATCAATCATACAGTAGGGTGAGAGCATAGATATGTATGTACTTCTTAATCATGCACTTAGATGGGGTCATTCAGATACCGTCCATCATACCATATGACAAGGCTGAGGTGTCTGACATACATTATATCTGTGAAAAGAATAGGATGGTGAGATTGTAGATCCTCTCCGGTAGAGAGGCGTCAATTCTGGAAGCCTTTCAGTACTTAAGTTGGGGTGGTAAACACGTACGTGCAAGGTGCGTATGAAATCCACCCACTTGCTCAGCTGGCTACAACGGCTAGTAGACGCAGCAACGCACACACAAATATGTGTACAAGCACGCATGTGAAACACACCATGACTGACTCTTGTGTGTCGGTGCTAGCTCCGCACTGAATATATCTGGAGAATCCAATATTGCCAAACACTACGCACACTACACCTGTCGTCTGTATCGCAAATTGTAATAAAATTAGCTTAACAATCCAATTTAGTTGAAAACATGGTCCTTAAAGAATATTCCACCATTATTTATCACCTAGGATTATGTGCCCGTTGTGTCTGCTATGATAGAACTGGGGGAAATCCGATTGAGCCTATACACTGTGGTATTGAGCGATGGCGCAGTTCATACTGCTTTTCACACAGCAAATAAGTGGAAACGTTATTTTATTTAGAACAAAGGCAAGTGAATTCGAGTCACTGCTAGTCAATAATTTAGTCAGGGCTTCAGTACATTCTGTGCTCTGCTTGTCCACATGCTCCGTCCAAAAGATTCGCACTTGATAGTCTCTGGCCGTGAACGGCAGTGGTAGAGGGCGGTGATTGCTGACTGTAGGTGCCCAAGATATGTCGAACAACAATCATTCCTTTACACTATAATATATGCTGTTTACCTCCTACTTGTAGGAAAACTGAGCGGGTACAAAGACTGAATAGTCCTTGAACGCTTGTAAGTAATGCTTGTATATATCTCAAATAAATTGGGAACCTCGAGTAGCTCAAACGTGAATAGCACACAGGTAAACGTGTATATAGGCAGAATATAATATATAAAAGGCGGAAAAGGCGCACGGATGATACAAACACATGCTTGCAAGTATTAGCCATATATTTAAAGCATATATTCAACTAGTACGATTGTACGAACCCCAGAGGCAACACAGCAGCCCAATGCAATGAGTCTAACGACACGCCTTCTCGAGTGGAAACAGTCTCTCTATGATAACTATCAGATACATTTGGATTAATCGGGTTTAGCAAACAATGATAAAATGTAGCAATCTGGGAAAAGTAAGACTACATGGGCAAGTGGGGCCAGGGGGGGCCGTTGTCTGTGGACTAGTTACTACTAGAGAGAGTTAGTAGTTACGGAAACATACAAAATCATGATGGGTGATGATTGGCAAGTCTAGTTTACAGACTGAAGATTTTTATTTTTTTTAAATGGTCAACATGCCCAAAATGAGCACAAGTGCCAACTGACAACAGGGCAAGTGTTGTTTTTAGTCCACATTCACATGGATTCCAATTTTACCTTTTAATTGTTTTGTAAAAAACCCAATAAAAATAAAATCAAAATATTTACCCGCCTTCTTCGTTCAATGAGAATCGGTGTGTGTCGGTGGACGGTGATCGATGACATGTCACCAATTGTGCCAATTCATTAATTGTGTTGTCACCTGCTGAGGACTGAAGTTCTGAACTTCAGAACTGAAACACTGTGAAGCTTGAAGAAAGTTGAGCAGACGAACGAACACTCTACTCGGACCTTGGACATTCGGACAGACGGACACTGGGTTTGAGGGTCTATGAGTCGACTAGCCAGCCTCTGGGAAATAAATAGCTGTAGGACTCGTATTAGCCTTGGCCTCAGCGGCCCAGGCCCCAGCCCCAGCTTCTTTTTACACCACCAGCAAGGGGAGGGTAATGACAAATAAAAACGAAAAAAGTGGGTGTCAAAAACAAATTGGGATTAGAAATATGTATTAAGAACATTTTAGGAAAAATTCATGGAAAAATGATAGGAGCCCTTCGAGTGTTGGGCTGCTGGCCAATAATAATTGAATACTTTGTAGTTCTAATGCGCTACACCAATTTGATAAAACTCATGTGCTTGAATTTCCTATTTTTAGAAAATTACTACACAATTTGGGACGAAAGCAGTCTAGAAACTAGAAAGTATATCCCAAATTCCGATTTCTTCCCAAACGTTGCTTTGGAAGACATGCTTTATCCCCATTTCTATCGAAAGTTGGAACGAAAAAAAATTGAATGATGACGATGAGCACATCTAAACAGAGAACACGGGTTTCCAGGATTTAAATTTAAAAAAAATGTATTCAGCAACGCCAATTCTATCGGTTGAGCACTTTCTGAAATTATTTTAATTCGTGAACAATCGGAATTCGCACCATCGTCAAACTTCCAACGAAGTGAATTTGCAACATGTTTTTTTTTTGTAATTTCTAGGTGATTTCGGTGCATCCACTGCATCGAGTCCATTAGACATACTTCATTGGTTTCGGCCTCTGTTGAGTCTGTGAAAGCCAACATATGCGAAGTTGCAGCTCGCGTGCAAAGAGAGTAAATATGTATTTTCCTCATTTATTATTTTGAAAAAAGGAAATTTGATGACAGCTAATAGGCTATTTATCAAGTTTTGGAGAATATCTGAGTGTGGTTCCCCATTTATTGAATCATTGTTTGTATGTTTTTTGGTCAAATTAATTTATATATAGAAAGAAAAAATGTATCATGGACAAACGAACACTTATTTTATATACTCTGAATTTCTGAATTATATATATTATATATATGATGCAAGGAAGGTTCGGCTGCATAAGTTCGAACACAAGCACTTGTTAAGGTTAGTGCAGTGCTCGGTACATTATCATAATCTGGCTGTATACACATTTACAAACACTGTTTCAACAACTTTCACACAGCATACCTGAACAAATATATACTATTGTCTCTGTATTGCAATATTCACCATGGCCATTGAACGACCATTCAAGAACGAGAAATTCTCAGCCGAGAAAAGTACCAGTGTGGATGTAGTACCTAGGAGCAACATCTACCTGGCCAATCGCTTGTCACTGAATGTCATTGACTTCTACCAAGTGTATGTACAATGTTATGTGCCTTACATTCTCACAGCGATTGTGGTACTGCTGTCCACCAAACTGGCCAGTGATGTCTCAGCATCCGAAGTGAATTGGGATTCGGCTGTCGCGTATGTGTCGCAATTGAATTATAAATTCGCCGTGGATGGTCTTGCGCTGGTGATGCTTGTAGCATTCCTAGGATCATATCTTTCCAGTCGCAAAAGCCCCGTCTACTGTGTCGAGTTCGAGACCTTTACGCCGCCAGAGAGCTGGAAGGTCACCCGTGACGAGATCATGCAGGTGATGAGGTCGAGCAATTCCTTCACCGAGGAAAGTCAGGACTTCTTACAGAGAATCATGGACACAAGTGCCACTGGAAATGCCACGCACTGGCCCCCAGGAATTCTAAAAGCCCTCAAAGGGCAGAAACAAGAAGAAACCATGACCTCGTCACGGCGCGAGTTTATGACCGTCATGGCAGGATGCATTGACCAATTGATCGGTAAGCCTAGTATAAGGAGGAGGCGTGTTCGTGTGCTACTGTGTGATGTGGAGATGAATATTCATTACACAATACGATAATTGCATGTCATGTTCGGGTGCCGCTCAGACAACATATGTATGTCTCGTTTATATACCCTTGTATGTATTTATTTATATAATATTTGAATATATAACTCTGTATGTGTATATATACCTGTCAAATGTTCTTTATATTATTTGTGTATCTATTTTCGTATGTATAATATGTATTTATATTCCCGCATGTATCTGTAAATGTATCTATTCTCTTATGGATATGTGTGCTTTATTAAATTGCTGGTACACAAACAGCTGGGACATTTACACTGTTTGATTGGTATTTCATACCTTGATTGTCTAGACATACAACTGTACGAGTGAGGTATCGTCTACAATGCATGTACTCGCACGAGTACAGGTGAGGTGTACATCGCATCTGGCCTTCCTTTCCGTATGTACTGTATTCAAGAACGTAAGAAGTTTTCCAAACGGCGTGTTGATATTGCATAGCGAATTGAGTGGATTGTGCAAAAGGACGATAAGACATGCCTTCTTAGTAACTCTTTATGTAGCTGTGCTAACTTATACTCTCGACTCTTGGTTTATTATGTTGCAAAATAGTTAATCAACGAATATGTACTTAATCTCGATACAGAAAGGACAAAGATCGACATTAAGAACGTTGACTTCTTAGTGGTGAACTGCTCGCTATTCTCACCCACACCATCGCTGTGTGCGATGATTTCGAACCACTACGGCATGAAGTCGTCGCTACAATCCTTCAACTTGGGTGGCATGGGATGCAGTGCGGGTCTCATCTCCGTCGACCTTGCTAAGCAATTGCTGGAGAATAATCCTGGCAAGACCGCAATAGTGTTCAGTACTGAGACCATTTCCGAGCAGCTGTATCACGGTAACGAGCGGTCTATGTTGTTGCAGAACACGCTCTTCAGAGTTGGAGGTAGCGCCGCACTGCTGTCCAGCAAGTGGAAGGACGGACTCACGGCCAAATACAAGCTGCTGCATACCGTACGCACACAGCATTCAAACGACTTGGCATACAATGCCGTGTACCAGTGTGAGGATAAGACCGGTGAACAGGGTATCCGCCTGAGCAAGGACATCGTGTCTGTGGCTGGTAAGGCTATGACAACCAACCTAACGTCGCTGGGCCCATATGTGCTGCCTGTGACTGAGCAGGTTAAGGTGCTATACAGTATGCTCATGTCCTTTGGACGCAAAAGAGGGTGGGTAAGGCCGAGCGAAAATGGCGCAGAGAAGCACTATGTACCGAACTTTAAAGCTGGGGTGCAACACTTCTGCATCCACGCGGGAGGTCGGGCTGTGATTGAGGGCATTCAGAAGAATCTGCAACTCTCAGACTACGACACTGAACCCAGCAGAGAAACACTGCACAACTTCGGCAACACCAGTAGTTCATCCATCTGGTATGAGATGCGGTGGTTGGAGGACCACGACCGCATCAAGCGCGGCGATCGCACCCTGCAACTGGCCTTTGGGTATGTTTGGTTTGGGTCGATTTATTTTCTTAATCGTATGTGTATTGTGTGTGGTACTTCATTGTTGTGATGTGTGTAAATTATGTATTGCTAGGTAAAACATGGGTTCTTTGGTTACTAGTTACGTGGCAGTATGCTTATTGGAACAAGCATGGCTAGTACACCATCTACACAGCCTTCGAAACACCGAAGTGTGTACTTGAAGTATATCTTGTGTGGTTGAATACTTTTATCACATGCTACATATTATCACATTCGGTGCAGATTAGTTGTTATGGCGACGGTTGTAAATAGTTGATACACGCATGTGTTTTTCGTTGCACCACGCAACTACCTAACTGCATCATTTGGGAAGGATTGGTAACATGTTTTGGAAATGGACTACGAATCTTTACTTATCGCAATGCATCCTCCTCTCCCCTACATAGGTCTGGTTTCAAGTGTAATAGCGCCGTGTGGCTGCGATTGCGCTGAAGGATTTGGATAAACGAAGCCCGTTGTTAATGGCTACATCTTTTTCGCCCCATGCATGTTACACGGGTGTCGATACAAATGCGTTTGGAAAGGTCGATTAATGATACGACTGCAAACGAAATTAAAATTAAAGCTCTATACAACCTTAAAATGCCTAAACATACTTCACTTAAATACATGAATTGCGTAGTTTCTTTTCTGGATTCAGGTTTGAGTTAAAAATCAAAGACAATTGTATATTTACATTCCCGTATCTTGTTCCGAAACAGTTTATGACCTACTTCAGTATGTGATACAATTGTCGATCGAAAATTTAGATGCCTTCTGTGACATATATGCCGTATGGATGTGTACGTTTACCATTTACAATGAGTGTTGAGCAACAACTTTCACAGAAATCTTTGTTTTTCTATCAAGCGCATTGACCACCATTTTAAAACTGACATTCACACAACACTTTCACAACATGTGTTGTGTGATATCTAGATGAATGTACTAAGATTTAAAACGTGATATTTCTATACTCGATCAAATCTCATATTTGATATATAAATAGTATATATATATAATGAATATAATATGATTCAATAGGTGATATTTCTATACTCAATCATGAATGTAATAAGATATAATAGGTGGTGTGTCTTTACTCAATCAAATCTCATATTGG